AAATCTATGCAAAAAATAACGTATACAATATACTGATTAGACGTATAAAATCTATGTAAAATTACGTATACAATATATTGATTAGACGTATAAATTCCATATTTTTTTGCATACGGAAAAAATTGATTTTCAGTATCTTGTATACAGAAATATTTACGAATTTATTATACTGTTTGTTTACGTTTTTTATATGTTTATTAAACGTATTATTTCCGTATACTTTCCTTATACTAATTATTTATAGAGTTGAATGATATATTAAGAAGACATGATAAAAAATTCTTATTCATATTATCAAAAATTTGATAATAATATATTACAATAAATTTAGGCTGTATTAAAAATCTGATTAAGTACTAATTACTTAATATAAAATGTAAATTTAATCTGTTTTAATAAATATATAAATTGTTTTAAATTTAATTTAAAATTTTTTAAGTTTATATTAAGTTACAAAATGTTTAGAAATATTTAATAGCTCTCTGTAAAATTATAATTAATCTTTATAATATTAAATAATTTAACATCAATTAATATGAATTTAAAATATTAAAAAAATCTTAATATTCTCTTTTAAATAAGTTAATATTATAAATCTAAATACTAAAATCTGAATAATCATATAATAAATAAATAAAAAGAATGTAAATATACAAAAATACTATATATATGATTTTTTTATTTATAATAATTAATTTACAATTTAGTAATAAAAAGGAAATAGAAGTAAGTTAATATGTGAGATATAATAAATAATAAAAGATATATAGGAGACGGTCAGTAGAAAAGGAAGAAATCCAAATTTGATCAAAATTTATATTATTAGACCACTTGGCTGATCTCGGTCAAGTGCTCAAAATTAGTTTAATAATTAAAATTATGGATTTTTTCCTTTTCTACTAATCACTTCTTATATAAGAGTAAATTAATACATAGATATTTATTTAATAATAAAAAATCTAACTGCTTATATTTTGATAATAAAAGATTGTAGAAGTAAGCTAATATATAATTATATTTTGAAAATAAAAAGGATGTAGATAAGTAAAAAAACAGAATAAGCTAAGTTATAAAATAGTAGTAATAATTAGATTATGACAAAGTATATAAGATTTTGATATATAATAAGAAAGTCTAGAATAATATCTAGAATATCAAAAAGATAACTTATATTAGATAAAAGGATATATATTTAGGTTATAAATTTAAGTATACCAGAGTATTTAAACTATTAGGTTATAAATTAATAATCAGATTATAACATCTCTTACTAAATTATTATATCATTTATTAATGTTACTATTTAAAACTAAAATTTTATAGTTTAAACTTATCGAAACAAGTTCAATTAATAGCTAAAACTACCAAAATTAGTTTTGTTTAACCAAATCTAATTTTTAGTAGTTTAGGATAGCAACCTTAATTTTTATTAGAATATAATATTTCTCACTAGGTTGTAACATTACTATAAGTTATAATAGTTATAATATCCTAATAAGTTATAATATTTTTACTAGATTATAATATTATTAAATTATATAATATTTTCATTAGGTTATAATATTTTTACTAGATTATAATGTCTTGTCATAACCTAATCTAGTAATATATTAATCTTTGATATAATTACATCAAAATTATTATATCATTATTATAAAAATATTAAATTATAATAAAATTTTATATTATTTTATTATATAATTATTCTTATCTTATTTTGCTATTTTAATTAATTTAAATTAATGCTTAGATTTTTTATTTATATATCTTAAAACAACTTATTGTTTTATAATGTTTTATTAATCAGTATCATATAAATATTAAAAGTAATCAAATTAGATATATTAAATAATAAATTTTCATAATTAAAATATTAAATTTCTAAAATATTTAATAAAATAAAATAATAAAATATGATAAATAAAGAAAAAATTTTAATATTTTAAGTATAAATTGAAAATACGATTGTATTTTATTCATAAAAATTTTTTTTTACAAATTTAAAAATAATACTAATTTTTTATTGAAAATCTTTTTATAATATATAATTTTTATATTAAAAATTTAATATAATTTAACTTTATATTAATATAATATTAGATATAATTGCTTATTAAATTATTATTGAAATAAAACATTTTTTTTTTTTATTAAAAAAAAAGCAGGTTTCTAAAACCATCGGAATAATTTTTTGATTTTATTGCATTAAAATTAATTAAAGCTACACGAAAATGTTTTCGAAGAAAATGATCTGCACGCTGAGGAAAATCTTCGCAAAAACCCCATTTGTATCCATTAATTCACTCCGATAAAGTGCAAATTTATTTTTCCAGTTTAATTTTCATGGTAAAAATTTTTTCGATAAAATATTGCTATTATTAAAATTTGTTTCTTTTTTTTTTAACTCTAGGTTCTGATAACCTGATTACTGTTATTTAAATTTACAGATGAATCAACTTCACTTTTCTAAAAACAAAAAAAGGCATTTTTATAAAAACTTTTAAATGATAGACTTAGCAAATCGATTTATTATGACAGCAAATGACATTTTTAAATATTGGTTCATACTATTATTTAATTATTTGTATGTAAATTAACAATATTAAATAGTATAAGTTGGTTAGGGTTATCATCATATTTAATGGCTTGCTATATAAGGAAAGTTATAACCGGCAATTGATGTGCGACGTGGATCATGGCATTTTAATATTCTATACCCATAAGATATTCCGATCTGTCTGTAAAACCCGAACCATTGTTTGTTTGATGCAAAACCTTAAGTGGAATACTAACATTCATTTACGCCTTTACCGGAAATGAGCTTAATTAAATCCGGCTCTGACCCACTTCGGAATAGATCGTTATACCATGTATTTTTAATTGTATGAAACCATTTAGGAAATTTTTGAATATTTTCCTCAAAACACTACTTTGAGATTTGTTTGTAAAACGAAATATAAAGATTGTGACTGTGTGTCAAATATAAATTGATGGAAAAACCACAATTGCGATTTAACCTCAAAAAGCATTTCTTTCATGATCAATCATTGAGTTTAATGTACTGTCTATTTTTTTTTTTTAAAAAAAAAAAAGAAATTCCCCTTCCATCATTTTTGGTAATCCAAAAAAAAATAATATAATAATAATAAAAATAACAATAACTATGTACATTTATTTTTTATATTAATGATAAATATAAATAAAACAAAGCTAAAATTAAACTCAAAATCTTTTTACTTGTGAAACAATCCCGATTTTATTTAAACAACCATAATTTTATATAAAGGAAGGGTATTCATTGTTTTGGTCTTTCATTTTTTCGCGAATATTTTTTTTCCCTTTATTATCATATCTACTTGTACCCTTTTTTTTTTTTTTTCCGTCCTGAACATAATTTTTTTTTTTTTTTTTGTAATAAATATGTGAAATTTTTCACTCAAATAACAAAAAAAAAAGATTTTTAGAGAAAGTTATACAAAGTCATTGTTATTTTGTAATATATATATAAAAAAAAAAAAAAAAAAAATTACTACTCAATATATTTCTTATTATATCTTGAGCCACAAATTTTTTTTTTCTTTTTGGTTTTTTCCGGAACTTTAAGTGTTATTTTTTTTGGTTTTTTTTTGTCAGTATTTCTTATTGAGAATTCGAAGCAATTATGCGCAAAGCATTTACATTTTTATCTTCTTTATCGATTATTAAAAAGTCTTCGGAAGAAAAAAAAGCCTCTACACAAGCCTCGTCTAAGACACAAAAAGCTAATAAGAAATCACAAAAATCAAACTCGAAAAATGCAAAATCATCACAAAGTAAATCTTATAACACAAACGGGACTTCTACAAAAAATCATAACAATGACAATAATTCTTTAGATAAAATTAGAAAAAATGATTTAAATAAACCAGCACCAGATTTAAAAAGGTTGGAGCCTATCACTGAATTAAAAAGACAACATTTACAAAGGAAAACATCAAATAGATCAGCCAATTCCGTTACCGTTTCTACAAAACCAAATCGCCGGAGAAAAGCGTTTGTAATAATAAAAGACAGTGATAGTGAGAGTACAAGCGAGGATAATGAAGACAATGACGAAGAAAATGAAGAAAACGAAAAAGATGATGATGAAGATGACATTCCATTGGGATTAAGACATCTTCGACCCACAAGTTTCACGAAAAATAAGTCTCCATCTTCACGTAAAAATCACGAGTATTTTGATAAAGAAGTTCGAATTAAAAATACTTCAAGTATGTTATTGAAAAATAATCGATCGATGACTCCGGATGATTATCCTCGACGTTTACAATATTCTCCTCCTGCGGCAGAAACTCCTCCTTTAATATCTACTCCATGTGAATTTTTAAAAGAACCTAGACCTCGTTATCTTGAAGAGCCAAGGTTTTCATCTTCAGCTTCATCGTCATCTTCGGCGAGCGTAGATAGTAGTGGCAGTAGATATCATAGAGATTATAATGCATCACATAATCGTAATGTAACTTCGAATAATTATAATCAAAGGAATACAAGTTATTCATCACCTTATTTAAATGTATACGAGTATGATGATTTTTACCACAATCGAAAATATTATGATGATGAATTGTATGATGATTATGATGATAATCGAATATTAGGTTTTCCAAGTGGTGGCATCCGACATGTCCCAACTTTATCACAAACTGAAAGGATTCGCCGAATAAATTCAATCAAGTCAAATCATTCAAGAAATGATCATTTATCGAGAATTTCCTCCAAAAGAAGTGATTCTAAGTTGGTTGCTGGTGCCAATCCTCCTCCTCCTAATAAATATCAAAAGGGTAATAAAAAAATGTCAACAAATGAATATCATAAATATCAACAAGAGATGGTTTCCGCTCAATATTTAAAACATGGAATTAATCCTGTTATTGATGAATCTATTCCTGATCATTTTGAGCCTAATCTGTCTCGAATGGGACCTACTTATGTTCAAAGAGAATTCATGAATGCACCTTCAACTAGACTTAAAAAACGTCTCAGTGTAAAGGATAGTCAAGTAAGAAATACTTCTTATACACAAACCGGTAGTAGTGAATCTAGTGATTACTTTAGAACATCATCAGAATCTAGTATACAACCACGAATAAACCATAGATATTCTAAACACCACCATACTCCACTTCATTTGCACTCTATTCACTCATCTTCAAGTGGTAGTGGTAGTGGTGGACCACCTACTCCTACGAGTCGAAGATCTAGTGTGATGTTTGGTTCTAACTTTAGTAGTAGTAGATCAAGTACTCCTTCTTCTGTTGGTTATGAAAAAGAAAAAAGAAGAAATGGTATTTAAAGTGAAAAAAGAAAATAGTAAAAGAAATCAATTAGCGAAAACGAAAACTAGAATGAATTAAGCACTATTATTTATTAGTATATTTTCTTTTAAATTAAGTGATGTATTTTTAGCCGATTTTCAATTGACTTGTGTATTTTTTTTATGTACAGTTTATTTCCTTGTACTTTATTTTAACGTTTATTCATTAAAAGCAATTAAACTTTTATTTATTTGATATATCGGGATTGGGCTCTTGAAAACCTGATATTAAATATGTTAATTCATTTTTTTGTATTTCATTACAAAGATTCTAACTATTTATGGTATACTTGCTAATGGTACCATAATAAACTTAAAAAAAAATCTCTGTAAAAAAATATCTATAAATAAAGTGATGTTATAAATAATTCTAATCTATTACCAAATAATAAAGTTGAATGTGATCTGAAAAACCGTCTAACCGATTCGGTTGATTTGGCGTCTAGTAGTATAGTTTTGCTGATTGAAAAACAAAATCTTTTTTTCCAACAAAAAACAAATAAAAAAGAAATTTTTACTATTGATTAGCCTCTCTATTTACTCGAATCATATGAAAACGTAAAAAAAAAAAAAAAAAAAAAAAAAAAAAATACAAAGTAAAAATTTTTTTTTAAAATAAATAAGCGTAATAGTGAATACCAATTCCTGACATTCAAGTTTTTTATTTCTCTTCCAAAGATTTTCAGTTTTAAATAAATAATAAATAAAAGTGTAAGAGTAACAAATAAATTCCCACCTCTTTAAAAAATATATATATATATATATATTTATTCTTTTTTTCCATCGATTAAATGAATCTTTTAATTAAATATTCCTTTTTTATTAATTATCATGCTTGCATGAAACATTTAATTATCGAGAAAGAATCTCATTATATAATAAAAAAAAATGCCTATAGTTCCTATATTTGTATTCAAAAATGTATTGACTTTATACTTAAAAAATACTTTTCATAATATACTAGAATTACATACAATACAGTACTAAAAAAAAATACTTATCATACATACAGTACCCTCCAAAAGTAATTTTTTAACTGCAATATCTCTATTATTCTGATTTGTCACATTATTTATTAGGTCCAATTGGATAATAGAATATTATAAATTAAATAAACAAAGTTAAAATGAATTGGTAAATTAATTTATTCCTTATTATTATATAACATCTAAAAAGACTTGGAAAATTATCTTTTGGGTTTGGTTATTTCTTAGCATTAATATATTTTAGACCTTAATCTGTAGTATAAAAAAAAAAAAAATGTTTTAATTAAAAATTTTTTTTTAGTATAATTTATAGTAGAGATGTTAAACGATCCTAAACAGTCCTAAAAATCCCAATAAATTTGCCAGTTCTAGAGAAGATTTTTATTTTACTGGCATTATATTTTAATTTCTAATGATAATTTGTTAATTGAATATAAATTAAAAATATATATTAAACTTA